GGTGCCCCAAGAAGGAATATTGTTAAAATGTCCATACTATCCAAAGTGATCCACAGATTAAAAGCCATCTATCAAAATTCCAATGGTATTTTTCACAGATGCAAAAACAAACAAACAAAAAACAATCCTAAGATTCATGTGAAACTACAAAGAACTCCAAATAGCTAAAGCAGCCTTGAGCAAGAAGGGCAAAGTCAGAGGCATCACACTTTCTGATTTCAAATTATATTATAAAGCTACAGTAATTAGAACAGCATGATATAGGCATAAAAGACACATAGATGAATGCGACAATATAGAGACCCCAGAAATAAACCTATGCTTAAACAGTCAGCTACTCTTTGGCAAAGGTGCCAATAATACATGATGGGCAAAAGAATCTCTTCAATAAATGATTTTGGGAAAACTGGATAGATATCCTCATGCAGAAGAATGATACTAGACCTTTATGTTACACCGCACATAAAAATCAACTCAAGATGGATTAAAGACTTAAATGTAAGACCTGAAATTGTCCTAGAAGATACCAGGGGCTCCTTGGTCAATAGTTTTTTGAATATGACAAAAAAAGCACAGACAACAAAAGCAAAAATTATCAAGTGAGACCACATCAAACTAAAAAGTGTTTTGCATAGCCAAGGAAGCAATAATGACAAGGCAACCTATGGAATGGGAGGAAATGTTTGTAAACCATATATCTGATAAGGGGTTTACATTCAAAATCTATAAGGAACTCTTACAACTCAATAGCTAAAAACAAGTAATCCAATTAAACATGGACAAAGGACCTGAACAGACATTTTCCAAAGAAGATATACCCAATGGGTATATTAAAAAAGCTCTTTAACATCACTAATAATCAGGGAAGTATAATTCAAAACCACAGTGAGCTATCACGTCACACCTGCCATGCTGACTCTTATCAGAAAGTCAAAGGATAATAAGTGTTGGTGAGGATGTAGAGAAAAGAGAACTTTTATATACCGTTGGTGGGAATGTAAACTGGTATAAACATTATGGAAAACAGTATGGAGGCTTTTCCAAAAATTAAAAATAGAACTATGATTTGATCCATCTATCCCATTTCTGGGTGTTTGTCTGAAGGAAATAAAGGTGTACAAGGTCTTTGTCTATTAGAAAATAATACAGTGATATTTTTACTTTTAGAATTTTAATTTCTGATTTTGTATGTAGCCAAATTTTTATTCCCATGGATATTATTCATATTTCAAAAATTAGTGTACATGTTTTTCAAAGGATTATTTTTCCTCTGAAATGTTTGACTTTCAAATTTTGATTCCTCCTTAGATTTAATTTTTTACATTTCGGGTTTTAAAACCTTCTTCTATAAAATCTATAGTTTGTAGCTGAATTGGATAGAAACATAGGATCCACTTAAGAGAAATTGTTTGGCCAAATCTATTAAACAACTAAAGATCAGTACTGGCTCTATGTCTAAAAGAGGGAAATAGCAAATGGCTATAACCTTTCATTTTTACTTTAATTTTAATGCTTAAATACCTAATTTTTAAAACTGGATTAGCATTTACACATGTTGAGTATAAAATTAAAATTCATCTTTTCAAAGTTTTGTTTATTAATAGTAGTAAAACAAAACTGTTAGATAAACCGGGAATTTGAAACACAAAAGATAATTCACAAACTTACTTTTAATTTGAGGTGGTAGAAGACAAAGTCCCTGAAAGGATTCTTTCTTCATGCCCGGAAAAAAAAAAAAAAAATTATCACTAGATTTTTGGTTAAACGTGGTAGATTGGCCACACACATTTATAATCTCTCCTTTCTGAGTTACCACTAAATTACATGAAAGGAATCCGTAAAGGGGTTGTATAAAATGAATACATCCACAAAGTCAAGGAAAAAGATTGAGGAGGAAGATCTCAGTAGATAGTAGATCAACGTGTATTTGGAAGATGAAAAATGAATGCAAGAGAGTGCCAGGAGAGCTGGGGAAAATGCCAATTGCACTGCAGAACTTCCCAGAAGGGCTTAGGACTTGAATGCATCAGGTTTCATGTGAGGCAGTTAAATGGGGTATTGAATGAACTTTGTCTACAGAGAGATTAGACCTTTTGTCTCCTCGTCAATCCCTTAAAGACTGGCTAACAATGCCCTTATGAAGGAGACTGGTGATATTTCTTCTGAAAAAATTCATCGGAAGAGGGTCTGTGGACACTGAAGGGCAGGCGAGAATCATGATACTAAAAGCAGAATTGTGAGCCTCTTGATTCAATCTCAAAACTTCCACCACAGAAATATTTAGCCTTCCTAATCTTCAACCAAAGAGAATACTGGAGAGTTCTTCAAAGAGCCTTGAATGACCCCACAAAAAAAAATGCCTCCAGATATTGACATTTGGGATTCCCTCAAGCTGGTTGATTACTCTGCAGTGAAATCCCAAGTCTGTAAGCTATACTCATACACATAAAGCTTCCAATAAGTTTTATAGGCTTTCTATTGAAGTAAAACATGTTCAGTAAATATGGATATACTTATACACGTGTATATATAACAAAATTTTAAGTGTAAAGGTTGAGGAATTTTCTTTTTTCTTTTTTTTTTTTTAAAGATTTTATTTATTTATTTGACAGAGAGAGCTCACAAGTAGATGGAGAGGCAGGCAGAGAGAGAGAGAGAGAGGGAAGCAGGCTCCCCGCTGAGCAGAGAGCCCGATGCGGGACTTGATCCCAGGACCTGGAGACCATGACCTGAGCCGAAGGCAGCGGCCCAACCCACTGAGCCACCCAGGCACCCCGAGGAATTTTCTTAAACTTAATGTAATCGTGTAATCAGCATTAAGATCAAGAGATAGATAATTAACAGTACTATAGAAGCTTCCCTTCCATACTTTTCCAGTCACTACTACCAACAGAGGTAGACCGTATCCCAACTACTAGTGCTATAGATTAATTTTGCCTTTTTGAGCTTTATATAGGAATATTATCAGGAATCAGAAAGGCACTAGAGTTTGTAACAGCAACATTGGAAGCTAGAAAACAGTAGAACAGTGTCTTAATTCCTGAAGGAAAATTATTAACAACTTAGAATCATACACTCTAGTGTAACCTTTTATTATGAAACATATATATATATATATATATATATATATATATATATATAAAATCATGTTTATATAAATGAAATTATACAATACATACACATTTGAATCTGATTTTTTTTGTTCAATTTTATGTTTGTGAGATTCATGTTGTGTAATTGTAGTTTATTCAGTACAACACCACAATTATTTATGCATTCTCCTATTGATGGGCAATATCCCATTGTTGTCTCTGGGTAGTTTCCTATCTGGAGCTCTTAGAAATTATTCCTCTATGAAAAGTTTTACACATTACTTAGTGAAATACATACACATTTGTCTTGGGTATATACCTTGAAGTAGAATATTGAGTCAATCACATTTCAGTGCTTCATTCTAATATATAAAGAAAGCCAGTGATTACTAGGTATTTGAATAAATCCTCCAAAAGAAAAAGAGAACAGAAATGAACTCAGAGTCAAAATGAAAAATTCAACAGGAGAATTTGAGGAAATTTTCAGAAAGCAGAACAAAAAAGACAAAAGAAGTAGAAAATAGGGAAGTTATGTCTGATAAGGGAAGAAATATAAAAATAAATTATAAGAAAACTTCCCTAAAGCCACATAGAAGGAATTCTCAGCACAATAGATGTAAAAGACTCATATCAAGGCATATCATTATGAAATTTCTGAACACCATGAATAAAGTGAAGATTCAGAGGGAAGAAACAATTCACACTCAAAGGGTCAGGAATCAGAAAGGCACTAGAATTTGCAACAGCAACATTGGAAGCTAGAAAGAGTAGAACAGGGTCTTAATTCCTGAAGGAAAATTATTAACGACTTAGAATTCTACACTCTAGTGTAACTTTTTATTAGGCATAAGGGTAAAATGAATTCATTTTCAGACATGCGAGGCTTCAAAAAGTTACCTTCTGGACTGCTTTCTCAGGAAGCTTCTGAAGGATGCACTCCAGAAAGACATGGGATGTAAGAGCTAGAGATTCACTACACAGATGAAGGGAGTTGTCAGGGTGATAGTGCGAAGTCCTGCATAGAGGTAGCTGTGCAGCAGGCCCCGAGAGCAGGAGGATAGAAAGTTTCTGGGAAGGGCATTTCCAGGAAATTTTTTTTTTTTAAAGAAAAAAAGACTGAGTAATTTTCTGGCATTTGAATATTTGAAAAATGATAAATGTTTTAGCTGACTCCATAAACTAGTAGATTATAAAGCATGGCATATAGGGAACAATATTTCATAGTGATCATATCGTAACTACTGATGACTGATTTATCAATCATCATCAGCCATGTCAGGATATAGGTTTTTGGGGTGGAAGTTAGGATGTGGAAATTAGTTGTGTAAGAGAGCTAAATTCTCACATGATGTATTAGAAGTCAGTGGATTATTTCTAAAATCAATAAATTGAAAAATGGCAGCATAAACATATTATTTGGAAGTATAGATGTAGGGGCACCTGGGTGGCTCAGTCAGTTAAGCACCTGACTCTTGATCTCAGCTCAGGTCTTGGTGTCGGGGTTGTGAGTTTAAGCCCTATGATGGGCTCTGTACTACATGTGGAGCCTACTTAAAAAAGAAAAGTATGGAAGTAAATACAAAGAGAAACAGTTAAAAAAAAAAAGAAAGAAAGAAAGAAAGAAAGTTATTTGTTTTTAATGACTGAAACCGGGAGGAGAAGGAGAGGGGCTGAAGGGACCATTATTTTGTACTTCCTGATCCTTTGACATTGTTGGATCATTTTAAAAAGTGATAAAATATATTCTTGCATTACTTGGTAAGCTACATACTAAAACATTAATGATAAGTTATTTCAAGGAACAATAGGATTAAAGTGTCTCCAGTAAAAGGGAGTCAGATATAGAAAGAAAGAAATATAAGTTTACCTTTTGTATTTACCCTTATTTCTGGTTTTGTTTTATCCTAGGGCTTCAAAAACAAACCAAAAAAGATGGGCCACATAAAACCAGACTTGATTGACGTTGACTTAATCAGAGGTGAGTTCTAAAGTTGGTTTATGTATTTTATTATATTATTTCATCATAGTGCAGGAGATTCTTTTTTAGATACCTTCCCTCTATGATGGCATATTTTAATTTCCAAAGGGGATATTCTTCCCTCATCATTCAGGCCTTAGGATTTTTTTTTTCCCTTTGCTTTGGTTCTTTGTGGCTATGTAAATCACATTAGGTGAAAGAGGGATGAACTTGGAAGCTGCTGTTGTGTAAAAAATACATTGTATAACATTCAAGTCAGCCTGATTTATTTTGAGCTCCTGTCCTAGTGATTGAGGCAAGAAGTTATTGTACTTAATGAACATCTAAGAGGATTTTTTTTTTTTAAGGATTTTATTTATTTGACACAGAGAGAGAGATCACAATTAGGCAGAGAGAGGGGGAAGCAGTCTCCCTGCTGAGCTGAGAGCCCAATGCGGGAGTTGATCCCAGGACCCTCGGATCAGGACCTGAGCAGAAGGCAGAGGCTTAACCCATTGAGCCACCCAGGCGCCCCTAAGAGGATTCTTTTTAACCAGACAGGTTATGTGGTGATTTTTGCCCTCTGCTGTTTTTAATACAGTGTTAACAAGTAGGCATTAGTATAGTGTATGTAAATGTTTGATGTTTTGTTTTATTGTATATTTAAAGGCTCAACATTTGCCAAAGCCAAACCTGAAATTCCATGGACATCTCTGACTCGGAAGGGGCTTGTACGAGTTGTGTTTTTCCCCTTGTTCAGCAACTGGTGGATTCAGGTGACCTCTTTAAGAATCTTTGTTTGGCTGCTACTGCTTTACCTCATGCAAGGTAATTAGAGGGCTGGAATAAATTATGACAGTTTCTTTTTGCTGCTTTTGCTATTAGATAATGCAGACTTTACTGTTCTTACATTTACCCTTTCATTTGAGAGTTTAAAGTGCAAAGAATGAAGGGATATACACCATTTGGAGATCTTAGATTTATTTGCACACAGAAGGCAAACCAATTGTCCAACTCATCTTTCTTGAATTTCTTTCCACCTGTCTTACTGGCCAGGCCTTTTCATTCTTTGTTCTGTGTGACCTCTGAATATTGGATTACCTCAAGGTTGGATCCTGGATTCTCTTCTCTAGGTACTCTCATCAAACCCCTTTGTTTAAACATAGCTGATAAACGTGATTCTCAAATTTATATCTTCAGGCCAGATCTCTGCTGAACTTGAAACTTGTAAATCTAACTGCCTACTTTTAGGCATTTATGTAGAGAGATTTAATAGGTATCTTGAACCTATCATATCCAGCATGGAACTCTGGGATTTTTTTTTTTCCCCGTCATAGTCCATCACACCAGCATCGCCTTGCCTAGAGCACTAGAATAATGTCTACTCTGAGCCTACTTTCTACCAATCATTCTTTTCACAGCAATTAGAGAAATCTTTTACAGTAGAATCCGTATCATGTCATTTTCCTGCTTGAAACCCTGAGAGACTTCTCACTGGCGTTGGAGTGAAATCAGTCCTCACCACACCCTGCAGGCCTTCCATGATCTGTTCCCTGTTGGCCTCTCAGAGGTCATATCCTACTGCTCTCCTCCTTGCCTGCTGGAGGCATCATGGCCCTTTTTCCGTGCTGCACACAAAGCTCTTTCTTCTGTTTGAAACAATCTTACGGATTTTCACATGGCTATCTTTTTTCTCATCTTTAGGATCTAAACTCAGATGGAACTTTCACTGGGCAGCCATCCCTATCTATACTTTTTTTTCTTTTCAGTGTTCCAGAATTCATTGTGTATGCTTTCTAAATAGTCCTACCATTCCCCGGGAATCTATTTTAATTTCTGTATTACACAACTACCGGATGTTGGTTTTTCTCTTCTCACTACGTGCAGGAGCCCAGCACATTCTCTTTACCACTGTATGGCCACTGCCTACCGGGAATACTTTGTGAAATGGGACCATGTGCGCACTCTGGTTATACCCGAACAACAAGACATGAATTAGAGCAGAGTAGGGGAAGGTTGAGTATGGTGGAAGGATTTGGGGTGATTTTTGTTTTCTTTTATCTCTGTCGGTTTATTTAAGTTATAGAGGGAAAGATAAGTGTCTGAATTTACAAATCTCTAAGTTTAATTTTCTAAAGTCTTGTACAGTGCTGTCCAATACAGTTTCTGTGGTGATAGAAATGTTCTGTGTCTGCCTTATCCAGTCCTATGTGGCTGTTGAGGACATGGGAATAGTGTGAATAAGGAACCATATTTTTTAGTTTTATTTCGTTGTAATGAAATGGCTGTCATTTTAATGGCTGGATAATATTCCGTCATATGGATACACCATCATGGATACACACCATCATTTAAAATGATCATTTTCATATCTGTGAGTCTCTCATATGGATTTGCCATAAATACTTTTTATAGCTACTTAATATTCCATTATATAAAAGTACCGCAACTTATATAACTGTTCCCATATTGTAAGCATTTAGATTGTTCCTGGGTTTTTTTTTTTCTATTAATTATGCCATTGTGAACAAAATTTTCCATATTTTATATTTCCTTAGAATTTCTTCTCTGAAATAGAATTAAGAGATCAAAGAATATAAACATCTTAAGGCTTTTAGTACATAAAATCAAATTGCTAGTGGTACACTTCTTTTGGAAAGTAGTGGATGAGAGTGCCTGTTTTACCAGAGTCTGACCAACATTATTATAATTTTAAAGATTGTTACCTAATTGGATATACAAAAGAATTGTGTTTTGCTCATTTGGTCTGCATTTTTTGGGTAGCTTGTAAAGGTGAGGTTAAATATCTTTTCACATGTTCATTATTGAAGAATTTCTTTCTTTCTTACTGAGATATATTAAATTATATATATTAAATTTTCTTTTTTTGTTTTGTTTAAGATTTTATTTTTTTATTTGTCAGAGAGTGTGAGAGAGAGCATAAGCAGGGGGAGTGGCAGACAGAGGGAGAAGCAGGCTCCCTACTGAGCAAGGAGCCCAATGCTGCACTTGATCTCAGGATCATGACCTGAGCCAAAAGCAGATGCTTAACCTACCAACCCACCCAGAAGCCCACATACATTAAATTTTCATATACACCATGGTCTCTTTCTAAACACATATTCTGCACAATTGATTTATCTTGTTATTCTCATATCTGCACCACATTTCTTTAATTACTATAGTTGTTTAATATGTAGTAGCATTGAGCAGAAATATTCCTCTAGTATTCTTTTCCAGTATTTTCTGAGGTGTTTTTACCTACTTATTTTTTTTTTCAAAATAATTTAGAATTATTTTATCCTAATCATAACAAACAAATAATTTGGAATTAAACTGTAATCTCCCGCTTCCCATGAAGATATAGATATATTTGGGGGGAATGGGAAGAAAATAGATCTCTCTCACCTTTTAATCAAGTCTTCTGTTCTATTTCCCAGTAAAGCTTTGTAGGATTTTTATTTCTTATGAGGCTTAGATCTTCTCAAAGTTAAACTCAAATTTTTTTATTGTGGTAAAATATACACAATATATAATTTACCCTCTTCACCGTTTTTAAGTTTACAGTTGGTGGCATCAAGGCCACTTACGTTGCTGTGCAGCCATCACTACCATCCATCTCCAAACTTTCTTCATCTTTCCAAACTGAAACTCTACCTATAAAACAGTAATTGCCTGACTCTCCAGTTCCTCCTGAAGCTCAGGCCCCTGGCAACCATTCTATTTTCTTTTTCTGTGAATTTGACTCTTTAGATACCTCATGCAAGTGGAGGCAGGGGTATTTGTCCTTTTGAGCTCGGCCTGTGGCACTTAGCCTGTTTTTAAGGCTCATCCATACACAGCATGTACGCTTCCTTCTTTTTAAATGATGAATAAGAATCCATTATACGTATGTCCCATATTTTGTTCATATACTCATCCATCAGTGGACACTTCAGTGCTTCCCCATAAAAGTGAAATATTTGTTTTTATTTTTGTTGTTGCTCCCAGATACGACACTTTTTTTGTTTTATAAATTTCAACTGGTTAGTGCTGTTACATTTGAAAGCTGTTAGTTTATGTTTATTAAGAATACTTCTGCTTACTGCATTCTATTAAACCCTCATTAATTTTAATAGTTTTTCAGTGCTTCTTTCACATTTTCTAACCATACAGCCACGTTGCTGGTAAATAATGAAAATCTGGTCTCCTCCTTTTTCATACATTTCATTTGCTATGATTGAATTAGTCAGCATTTTCAGAGCAGCATTAAGTAGTAACAGTAAGAATGCTTATCCTTTTGTTCCTGGTTCTGAGTGTCTTTCTCAGTATGATGCGTGTTCATTTCCTCTTTGGTATATTAGGGACATATTTTTATATTCCTAGTATTTTAGAAGAGATTGGCATTTAAGATTAATTATAAATCAGGAACAAATGTTGATTTTTATGGAATGCTTTTTCACTATAGGAGTTGGCCAAACTCACAGGTTAAAGGTATGGTCCTTCATAAGATTCTCCCACTTCAGACACCAGCCTCACTTTGGGAGTCCCCAGTGCTACCCTTACTTCTGACCCACTGGCTACAGTTTTGAAGGTCCCCTATTAATTCCTTTGATAATTCACTAGAATGACTCCCAGAATTCGGGAAAGTGCTATACTTACAATTACAGTTTTATTATTCTAAAAGTTATATTGAATGAATTAGAAGAGGTGCATAGTTTGGGAGGATTCCAAACAGGAAGTGTTCATCATTCTCAGGGATATGGTACACTTTTTGCCATGATAGGTAGCAGTACTAATAGACTATTGCCAATCAGGGATGCTCACCCAAGCTTTGGTATCCAGAATTTTTACTGAGGATTATTATATAGACATAACCAGTTGAGTCATTGGCCAAATAGGCAACTCAGTCTTCAGCCCTCCCTCCTACCTCTCCCCCAGGGGTCAGGCTGATACACTGTGGCTCAAAGCCTCAACCCTCTAATCACATGGTTGGTTTCTCTGGTATGGCTAACCCCATCCGTAGTCACCTCGTTGGCATGAACTATCAGGTTTGGTCCAAGAAGCCCACTGTGAATAACTTCCATCACTTGAGAAATTCCAAGGATTTAGAGGTTACCTCCCAGGAATCAGGGACAAAGGCCTTTTACCCAATTTTCAATTGAGATAATTTGTATATATGTGACCCAAATTACATGTTATTAAATTATCAGATTAAATCATTTCAGTCTACAAATATGTAAATGCCTACCATGTCTATACATGTATTGTTCTATCAAGGCTCTGAGATATTTTTCCTTCCAGCATAAACCCTGCATGGTCTCGGTGGATTATTCAGATTTATTCAGATTTATGGTATTTTAATTACTCATTCAACAAATATTAAGTATCCATTATGTGCTACTTATTGATCTAGCTTTAGCAGTGAGCCAAATAGATGAAAATCCCTTCATTCACAGTGCCTGCCTTTCACTAGTGAATTTCTGTCCACATCCACAAGCCAGCAAGGTTTGTAGTTTATTGTTTTGGTGCTATTGTTGTTATATTTGGGTGATAGGGTGTTAGGGTATGAAATGAATTTGCTAGCTTTTTCTCCACATAGGAATAGTTGATATATCACAAGAATTATCCTTATGTTAAAGTCTGAAAGAACTGATCTGTGAAATTGTATCTGGATTTTTTGGGATGTAATTTTTGATGTTTTCCTGTTCTTTCACCACTGATTCTTTGGACAGTTCATATGCATGTACGAAGAGGCAGTATAGCATAGTCGTTTAGAGTAAGGACTCTAGAGCCCAGTTGCCTTGGTTCAAATCCCAGCTTTGCTAACTGCTGCTGGTACAGGTGTGGGCCTTGGAAAAATACTGTTCCTCTGAGCAGAACAACACTCAGTAGTATGTATCATACAGCATTTAGCTGTTTGGTGGTGGAGAGCCTTTTGAAGTATCTAGATTCTTATACTGCCGGGAAGGCAAATCCTTTAAACCTATTATTCTTCTCTTGCTCTGTGACCTAAGGCCTTAAGTTTTCACTCAACTGATGTGCAGGTGGATTGCACTGTCGAAAATTATGTGCTCTTTCCTTATACTTTTCAGATTGATAGGTTTTTATAGCAATAGTTTATGCAATTGCTAGGATTAGATATAAAGATGAGCCTTTCTTTATGTTTTACATTTTGAAACCTCTTCTTTTCAGTTCTAGCACTCGTGTTGTATTTTATGATGCCTATTGTGAATGTAAGTGAAGTGCTTGGACCCTTGTGCCTTATGTTACTCATGGGAACTGTCCACTGTCAGATCGTGTCTACTCAGATAACAAGGCCATCGGGAAACAATGGAAATCGGAGAAGAAGGTAAGATGAGAAATTACACTTGGTAGTTGTATATTTTCTAGGAGAGGCATTGTACATGCTTACAAAATCCTCAAAGAAATTAATTACAAATCTTCTGTTTTGCATGCCTTTTGAAATTATTTTTTTGGCTCTCTCTTTTCTTCCTGATGATAGGAAACATTGTCATGACCTTTTAATTCCAGGTGGGATTTTGTCATTCAGTACAGTTGTTTAAAAGGAAAAATCTGATACTATATTGTACTTTATTAAAATTTACCTTAAATAGTGATGTTGAAAACACATTCATCAAAATATAGTCTCAATCAAAATTTGGTGAAAATTCACTGTATAAATATGGGTGTTAGTACATTAGGTTAGTGCTACTAAAATTTTTACCTTTTTTTCAATGGTATATAATAAAAATGGATTTCTAAGTATTCTGAGCTTTTAAAAGAGAGGTATTTGACATTTCTACACATTGAGGTCATGTCATGTTTTTATTGATTATGTGCTATGTGTGGTTTTGGAACTGTTAGAGTTTTGGTTTTGTTTTTGTTTTTTTTTATATTATCATTCCTCAGAATATCTATAGATTTTGTTCTCCTAAACAGTTACTAAAGATTTTTTTTTAATTTGAATTTCAACATATTTATTCTTATTTTTGAATGTTATTTTCAAAACTTTTTTTTCAAAAAAAGGATTCCTTGATAATTCTATTCAATTAATTGAATTGAATTGAAAAAATCAATTGAATGATTTCTAAGGAAATCACATGCGATATATCCCATTGGTGATTTATAGGATATATCTTTTAACTGCTTCAGGTAGCCATACAAAGTGATCAGTTGCTATTATTTTGTGTTCTCTGATGAAGTGTGTCCAATGCATTGATTTTTGACATCCATATTTAAAGGAATTGTTCCTTTTACTAGTTGTGTTGAGTGTTCCTGAAAAGACTGTTGGTCATACGTGTGAAAATTTTCTTTTAATAATATTTTGAAATATCGGTTCCATTTCCTTAAATATTGAACAAAATGAGGGGCACCTGGGTGGCTCAGTGGGTTAAGCCTCTGCCTTCGGCTCAGGTCATGGTCTCAGGGTCTTGGGATTGAGTCCCATATTACGCTCTGCTCAGCAGGGAGCCTGCTTCCCCCTCTCTCTCTGCCTGCCTCTCTACCTACTTATGATCTTTCTCTCTCTCTCTGTCAAATAAATAAATAAAATCCTTAAAAAATAAATACTGAACAAAATGATAACCTAGGACTTTGGTTTGAAATCCAGTTTTGCCCCTCAGTCAGAAACATTCTTGCATGATTTATCCTCATTATATGAAATTCACTGTAATTCATTTCACGTTGTAACCCATTGGTATCAATTTCTGTAAGGATATTTAGGGCAGAAATATAAAAGTTCTTGAATAATCTGAAGTTGTTGAATTTTTGTGTGTGTGTTTGTTTGTAGAAAATTACGGAAAACTGTCAATGGTGATGGGAGCCGAGAAAATGGAAATAACTCCTCTGATAAAGTCAGAGGAGTGGAAACTTTGGAGTCTATTCCCTTTATTGGCAGTTTTTGGGAGACTCTCTTTGGGAACAGGTGAGAAAGTATCACACTGGAATGTTTATTTGATTTTATGTTCACATCAGTGTTAACCTAGTATGATTTCTAAGTAGGAGAACACAGTGTAAGCATATTATAATTGTGGTGTGAGCATTAACGGTTCTAGAAGGATTTGCTTCCTCCATACGTCTCCACTGTCTGTCAGGTTCCCCATAAGTCCAGGATTCTACCATAAAAATTTCATTCTATTTAATCTTTAATGACATTTTAGATCACAAGTTTACAGAAATATAAATACTTAGAAAGGGTAAATATTTTAAACCATATTGGCTGACATCTTGAGGGAAAAAAGAATTTTAAAAGGATCGGTATTTTTCAGTGTGAAAGCTGATACCTCTTTAGAAATGGCATGCAGGAAGCTGGTGTTGATAGGCTGTAGGTCAGAAAGGGAAATGGATCCAAGACAAATTCTATCTCCTTCACGATTTTACAGTGTCATGACAACACTAGTATGACTTGAAGAAATACTTATTTTGTCATCTATTAATGATTATGACTCAAAAATAAAGTGCTCTTCCTGCTCCTTTTTTGAAGATGAGGTACACGTTTCCCTCTCCTTTCCAAAAGTAGAGTGTTCCTGTGAAGCCTTTCGCAGGCCATAAAGCAAAGAAGCAATTACCATGAATTTATATGGAAGAGGTTTTTGAGCCTTCTCAGACCCAAACAATAGGCTCTCTTAGGCTTTTCTGATACCTTAGGTTGCATCTTGCTAAGGGATGCATGAAAGAAGTGGAGACAAAGCACAGATGCTCCCAGATGTAGTTCAAAGCCATGTTGGCTAGATGCTGAGAGGCTGAGTGTAGCTCCCGGGGCAGGAGCTCCGAGGGGCCACCCTTGCTGCTGCCGGGCATGCGGCTTCTGTCACTACTTGCTGGAAAACAAGTGCTGATTGCTAGTTGCATTTTGCACCTTCTCTTGTGAAAGCAAAAATCCTTTTCAGAGTTCTTCTGGTTAGCCAACACTGGTCCTAATGTGGGTCTCTCAGAAGAGCAAATTTTTGTTTTGCTTTTGCATACTTTTGAAAGGTGGGGAATGCCTGTATATATTCACATACTTTTCTCAAGATAGGTTATACTCTTTAGTTGGGGTTCTTTGTGCTGAACGTTGTGTGCCCTACTGGGCATCCCTGTTTTTTGGTGATTTTACTCTCTAATCAGGAAGATAAGAGGATGATGCAATCATAGCAATGTAAAAATATCTGAAGTGGTTACCTGCTGACTAAAGGCCATGCTGTTCAGCAGACGGAGTGATTATTCAGGGGGGAAGTAGTCAGCAGGAGTCATGAAGTCAAGAATTGCTGGTCTTTGAGGGACAGGAGAGGGAAGACATTTCTTCGAGTGACATAAACAGGTGATGTGAGGTAGGCATTGGCACCCTGTCTGAGAGGGTGAAGGGAAGACTGAACCCACTTCCTTGCAAAACAGAAAAGAAGAGGCTTACTCTTGAAATTAACTGTGGTGCCTCTTTGGAGACTAGAGATACCTCTATTCTGGCTTCCTACACCCTTAGGCAAGCCAGAAGCCTGAAAAATGGGGTTTCTGAATTTTCTTGATTTCCAGAATAATACACAGTTGACCCTTGAGTGCAGGGGTTAGGGGTGCCTGTTGACTGGAAGCCTTAGTAATAGTATGTGAATAGTTGATAAACACACATTTTGTGTGTTATATGTATGATATACCGTATTCTTACAATAAAGTGAGCTAGAGGGAAAGGAATGTGATTGAGAAAATCATCAGGAAGAGGAAGTACATCTATAACGCTATGTGGTATTTTTTTAAAAGATCCACGAATAAGTGGAACCTGCAGTTCAAACCCATGTTGTTCAAGGATCAACTTGGATTCTTCAAATGCAAATGATTTCATGAAAGATACTACTTTCAGAAAACAAGCTAGTAATCTTTTTTTTTCTTTTTTAAAATTAGGAGTAAAAGAGTAAAACTAATCAGTAACAAAGGGACTGAAACGGACAATGACTCAAGTTGTCTGCATCCTATCATTAAGAAGAGACAGTGTCGACCAGAGACTAAAATGTGGCAAACAAGAGAGAAAGCAAAATTTTCAGATGGAGAGAAGTGCCACAGGGTAAGAGTTAGATGATTATATATAAACATATATTTATGTATAACAAAATCTTTCCTTTCCTGTGTAAAATTTGGCCATTCTTAGACTCTGCTAGAGATGTCAAGTAGATACTAATAGGTTTGTGTAATTTGTCTTAACAAATAAGTGAAATGTGAAACCACAGGACACAAAAAGGAGAATAACACACGAGGACTGTAGTTTATTCTTTTAATTTCTGGAACAAGAGCATGTTATTTCATTGGCTGCTGACCCAGCCTCAGCAGTGGGCTGGGAGGTATCAACAGATCCATGGAGAGACTCCTGGCTGTATTGCAGAGATGCAGTGATGATATGAGAGGGGTTTGGGAGACTATTTTCTAGGTGTAGCCGAGATGGTCTAGCTCTGAAACTACCCTTCCATTGCATCATCTTAAATATGTTCTCATTTATTAGATGGTGGCATGTAGTAATTACAAAAATAGCTAATATTCTTGAGCCATTACTGCAACTAGGCACTATCCTGAGTGCTTTATACATAGTAAGTCAGCTCATTGTTCTCACCGCTCTGTGAGATAGGTGCTTTTATTACCGTCACTGTTCAGATGAGGAAATGGAGCCTCAGGTTAGTGACTTGCCTCCAGTTACACGCTAGTGAGGAGAAGGGCCGTGCCCCAGACACAAGCCTGTGCTTCTATCCTCTACGTAATATGTCCATGAGCCTGTTTAGTTCCAAGAGAGTTCACTGTTTTTCTTTACTGAGACCGGAGTAATATATAGGCTTGTTCACTTTTGGCTTACTTTCATCATTTCTTGGTTTTTATGTGCTTTTTTTGTTTTCGCATGTGCGGCTTACTGGAGTATTTTGGGCTGTCCCCTGGGAAGAAATTGCTGTTCTCTTTGTAGGAGGCTTTCAGGCGACTGGGGAATGGGATTTCGGATGATCTGTCCAGTGAGGAGGACGGTGAAGCCCGGACACAGATGATGATGCTACGTAGAAGTGTGGAAGGGGCCTCAAGTGACAACGGCTGTGAAGTGAAGAATAGAAAATCCATACTTACCAGGCACCTCAACACTCAGGTAATTTTGAGTTTGTAAAAGTATCAGCATCGATCCCCAGATCACTGAATAGTCACAAGATGTTGGACATGTTTTCCTTTTGTTGGTTGGCTTCATTTTTGTCAGGTAAAGAAAAGCACTCCCAAGTGGTGTCACACAGCTCGGGATTCGGATAGTCTGGCAGAATCAGAATTTGAATCGGCAGCCTTCAGTCAGGTAAGGTAGCCTTCTGACAGGTCACTGTTCCAGGCCTGGTCCCCACTGTCATATCTTTATCCATTGCTTTTTTTTATTGGTTGTCCTAAAGTAGTGCTTCTGTCTGCCTGGCCTCCCCCGCCACCCCCTGTCTGTCTACCTGTCTGGCAGCTTTCCTGTGGCTGTTCACCCCCAAAAATCAAAGGAGGTGTTTCACTTTGACTCTAATCTCAAAAGCATCCTAGATGAGATGAGGCTCAGTAAGGGCTTGCTCAGTCCCCAGAGGATGAGAAGGCTCCCTTATATTGACTTGGAATGTGGGCCTTATTCTCAAGCCTCATTCCTGTCTTCCACCACTAAGAGGTGGGAGCAGCAAATCTCACTATGCAGCTCATGGGCATATTGTCCATTTGGAAGGTTACCATTCAGAGGTGAGTGGGGTAGATGGTGGGAGTGTGAGTTTTGCTTCGATTGACAAGGCTGTCCAGGATGTGGAAAAACTTCCATATTTATGTTTGTCCTGCGGGAGAGCCGCACTGTGCACCCTTTTTACAGTCTGACTGTCCTTTCCATGTTTGGCCCGGTCCCCGGGATGTGACTAGATCTGCAGTCACACTCACGTTATTTAGAGTAGGGGACACTTTGGGTATGTCAGTAGGCTTGGCCACACCCATACCCAGGGTAGATCCTCGGGATATGCAGGTAGAGGTCACTGTCATCCCAGGGAACATGAGTGGAACCATCTCATGACTGGGCGAAAACTTCTCAGAGGGTGTCCTTTTAAAGTCCTGCTTGTTAGAGAGTCATTGGAGTTCGACGTTGACTTATTAAAATGTATTATTGTTATGTGAAGCCTTGTGGGGGTCAACTTAAGAAAGCTTGCCAGCCATCACCACAGATAACTTGTTTGACTTTTATTTCAGATAAATGATTGCTTTTAAAAATGAATGAAAAAAAAATATATAGTTTTGGTTTTCTGTTTTCCTTGAAAGGGCTCAAGGTCGGGCATGAGTGGTGGCTCCCGAAGCCTCCACATGTCGAGAAGAGACTCAGAAAGCACCCGCCATGACTCGGAGACTGAGGATATGCTATGGGACGACCTGCTGCATGGCCCAGAGTGTCGATCGTCTGTCACCAGTGACAGTGAGGGGGCCCATGTGAATACCCTTCACTCAGGGACCAAACGTGACCCCAAAGAAGATGTTTTTCAGCAGGTCTGTAAAGGTGATGGTAATAATAGGTAATACTCACTGTACTTATGGGCCAGGTACCATATTAGCCCATCGACTTTACTATAGTCGTATATGGTGGATACTATTATTATCTCTAATTTAGAGATGAGGAAATTGAGTATAGTCTGTAAGTGAAGATGTTGGTATTATAACAGAGGGTGGGGGGAGTTCTCTGAAGTTGCCCTAACCTAAGTTTTTCTTCATAATACTTTTCCTCATTATTTTCCTTAGAATGATCCTTAATGTTCATTTTATGTAAGCGGGGTTGTTTGGTCCATCAACCTCATATTTTTGCAGACATCACAGTGTTATATATGAATTACTAAGAAATGGCATTGCTTGCTTTTCTAATAATGTATAAACCAAGTGATGCTTTTAATTTTAGGTTTTATATTAATATCACAAAATCAGATAGCCTGAAATTAGAGATTCCTTAGAAGGTATTTGAACCTTCCAATCAATGTAGGAATTCTCAAGTGGTAATAATAGTTACCACTTCTTGGGACTATTGTGATAGATCTAACGAGGTAATAGGAAGGTGCTTAGCACAGTGTCTGGCAAAGAGTGAGCACCTGATAAATGTTAGCATTGTTATTAGTATCCCCATCAGATGATCAGTGGCCTCTGCTTAAATACTTCTAGAGCCGGAGTGATTGTTACTTCATGAGAGAGCTTTTTCCACTGCTGGATAGATTGAATGGTTAGAAGTGGTTCTCAAACCAACATTCCAGATGTTTGGGGCAATGTCATCATTTCTTCTGCTTTGGTTGTCCTTTAGGCTATATATTTCCACAGTGATTTATAAATACTGAGTGGTGGATATTCATTTGTTGAATTAGTGAATTTTCTAGACTCTAGGTTACCATTGACTTAGGTTACACATTTTTATGAAAAAAGTCTTGCTTCATTAGATGTATACAATTCTTAAAGACTAACCAGAAACAACATACACTTCTTCATTAAAGCTTTAAGCCTTTTTTCTTTCAATTTTGCCATCAAAGCTTGAATCTAAAGATTCTTTACATTTTGTCTGATGATTCATCTACATTACACTGGCCCTAGGAGTAACATAACTAGTAATATAGTAATACAGTAACCACTACATAGCATCCTGATGATCTTGACGTCCTTTGCACTTCTGGGATTTTCAGTATAATTTTAAGGCATATGTAAGGTAACATGAAACTCACCATATCAAAAGGAATTCATCATTTCCCAATTCCCCTACCTACCCTGTTCTTTTATTCCCCATATTTTTGAATCTACCACTAACCACCAAAGGCAGAAACCTGGGAAACCCCACCTTCTCCAGCATGTTTCTAATCGGTCCTCACATCCTCTTAACTCCACTGAATAATATCTCTCTGTCTACTTGTGTGTCCCCTGCTTGGGGCTATCTGGATCATTAACAGCTTCTGTGGGCTTGCTCCCTTCATCTGCTCTTCCATACTGCAGCTGCGATCATGTCATTCCCCTTAAAATCTTTTAAGTGCTATTTCCCCCATTGGGGTTATTTGCTTCCATTTCTTTATTCATTCCAATAAAGTCTCATCTCTGATCATTCCTCCCCCAGCTCTCACGTGCTCTACTTTACCGTGGTTGAACTTCTTTCAGGGTCGTACCGTTCCCCGTGGGCCTCTGGCTTATTTGCCTAGAACGCACTTTTCTCTGATACTGTTCCTTCAGCTCACTCCTTTTTCTTTTTCATGTCTTGGCTTAAATGATCCTTCCTTATGAAGCCTTTCTCATTTGCTCCTGAAGCCCTCTTTCCTTCCCTTGTCATGCCGTGCAGTAACTTTATTTAATTATGTCTCCCATCAGTCTGTAATCTCCTTGATGTCAAGGACAGTGTCTGTCTTGTTCTCCATTGTATCTGGGGCGCATGTTACATAGTTGGCACTTCATACATTTTTTTTTGGCATCACCAATGAATAAATCAATACATGCTCATCAGCATTGTACTGTGCATTGTAGCAGAAAGAGAAGAAATACACCATGTGATTTTTTTTTTTTAGAAATTTATATTTTAGCTTGAGGACAAGATGATTATAGGGGAAATAAGTAGAGGACATTAGAAAAGTAGCATATAATTACATGCTAATTTGTCTGATATAGACTCTAAGGGTCTTTAATTTCAGGGAAGGGCAGAATAGTGAGACTTGTGCCAATGAGCTGACCATGGCGAAATGGGACTTGAGTTGGTACTTGAAGAATAAGAACTTACATAGCAGAAGGAAATGGCACTTTTTTCTTTAATCTTGAGCTTTCTCCTCTTGAGTTTTCTATGCTTTTCCGTGTCCTGATTAGGCCAGAGAAAGGCTTAACTCCTCAGTCATTCATGTAACATGTAAGACTTATTATTAGCAGTTCCCCTACCTAACTTCCTGCTGTCTCCGGTCCGGTCACTCTGCTCTAGAAATACTTTTCTCCTTAGCATACCATGAGTAAACTGAGCTTAGGCTCACTTCCAGACCTTTTGATGGGGAAGCCACCTTGAAGACCATGGAATTCTACTTCCTGTCATCACAGAAGACATTTAGTCTCACTCTAGGTCAGAAATTGGCTTATTGAAGAAAAAGGGACCAGAGATGAGCATCACGGATGTGGCTATGGGCATGATGAGCTCTGGGAAGGAGAGAATGGAATGATGAGGTCCAGCACTGGTGAATGTGGCCTGAGAACTGAACAGTGGGGAGAAAAATCCAACAGAGGAAAGAAAGAAGGGTGGATGGAAAGAGTTTTTTCTTTTTTTCTTTTAGAACCACTTATTCTGGCTTCAGAACTCAAGTCCTGCCTCTGATCGAGTTAGTGCAATAATCTGGGAAGGGAATGAGTGCAAAAAGATGGATATGTCTGTGTTGGAAATAAGTGGCATCATCATGAGCAGGGTAAGATTTCATGAGTTTTTCAGAAAACCTGTTTAATGATCAGCTATTTCAGTTTCAGTTTCAGTGATCAGTTTAATGATCACTATTCAGTGACCAAAGTACTGACTCTGCTTTTGAAACACAAATATATATTTTTTTCATGTTGTAGTTAGAATCTTTACTTGGGTATATTTTTGGATCTATTACAGTGTTCTCTGTGAACATAGTCATTATCCAGGTATACTTCTGCAAATATTCTTTATCTCATTTAAGCCTGATTTTTAATGAAATCAAAGAATGATAAATCATCTTTATTTGTACTTCTTTTGGCTATAAAACAGGTAGTTTTTAATAATCTAAGTAGTACTTGGTAAATACTGCTTTGTAACTCCATTTAACTGTGTAATAATGTTGGACATTTTAAATTAATTCCCAGGTGAATGCATATCAGCAAGGAGTAGGTTATCAGATGCTGGGAAATGTCGTCACCATTGGACTAGCATTTTTTCCTTTTTTACATCGACTTTTCCGTGACAAGAGCCTTGACCAGCTAAAGTCCATTTCAGCTGAGGAGATCATGACTCTTTTTTGTGGGGCACCACCTGTTACACCTATCATTATTTTGTCTATGATTAATTTTTTTGAACGATTGTGTCTTACTTGGATTTTTTTTTTCATGATGTGTGTGGCAGAGAGAACGTATAAACAGGTCAGTAGAGAGTTAAGTAAAATTTCTTGCCTCTGCTTTTGCGTATTATATTTCATTGAGTTGATTTTGTTTTCTTGATTTGTTCTCTCTCCAAAAGTTAATGTGGGCAATGAAGGATTGATGAATGGGTTTTTGGTATTTGTGGGTTTAAGAATCGTGATATCGGTTATTCACAAATGACATGTTGTAATCTGGCATTTCGCTGAGCTCATGTGTAGGAGTAAGTGGCTTAGGCAGGGACTCAGCCTGGCTGACCGCTGAGCTCCTGTACTTCAGTGTGCCTCTGTGCCCGTTTGCCCATGACATGTGTAGTTATCCTCAAAGTCAAAATGTTTCTGTGAAAAACGGTCAAGTGAGAAAGAGATTTGTTGAATTTCTATAAGAATTTGGAATTGAGGACTTGATATATTGGTGTTATGTGCAAAAAAACATGTTTGAAATTAAATTTCCACGAATGGAAATTTAATTTGGGACTAAACCAGAATTCTGTAAACGTTTGTGTTTGTGAAGTTGGGGATTCACAAAGGTCTGCCAAGAATATTTCTTGAAAATGTCAGGAGTGTACCATGTTATGGAGACACAGATTACAATGGAATGTGGTTTGGAAGCAACAGGGTCATGAGCTATTGATGATCTAAGTGATCAATTTCATCCTTTATTATTTTTTATATATGGGGAATATTGCTTGCAATTATATAAATATGTACACAGAGACACATTTGTACCTTTCACTTTATGATTTTTTTTTAACCCCTTCTAGAGATTTTTATTTGCAAAACTCTTCAGCCATATTACCTCTGCCAGGAAAGCTAGGAAATACGAAATACCTCATTTCAGACTTAAAAAAGTGGAGAACATTAAGATATGGTTATCACTGCGTTCCTTTCTAAAGGTGAGTTTCACCTGACTAACCATAGAGTGTATGCAAAAACATGCAGGGAGCCCGCTCACTGAAATTGCTGGCAGCAGATCGTCAGTGAGTGGTGGAGTTAGTCGTGTGTACTGGGCGGATTGTATCAGTGGCTGACAGACATGCTGGACACCAAGCTGGAAGTGATCTGTCTGCTGCACTGCTAGAAGTAACTAAATAAGAGCTTAGAAAGGGAAAAGGCAAAATAAATTCTTAGGGCAGAATCAAAAATTGAAAGTTGCATCTTTTTCTGACTTTTGGGAAAATATTCCAGCTGAAAATACATCAGTGAATCACTCACACTCTTAATTTGGAACAGCAATGAATTTCAGTGCTTCAAGTGAAACATGTCCAAAATGTGTTAAAATCCTATGCCAGAAACTTCTTATAAACATTTATTCTCACATTCATGTAGTAAAATTCAGTATGTGAATGGCGCGAGAGCCATTGCTGTCTCTAACTGTAATCCTAACCTATGTGTCTCACTCCACAGAGACGGGGTCCGCAGCGTTCAGTTGATGTGGTTGTATCTTCGGTCTTCTTGCTGACACTTTCCATTGCTTTCATTTGCTGTGCCCAGGTAAGAGTTTTATATTTGTTTTAATGAAGAACGGAAATTCTAATAAGATTCACTATCTATTCTAGACGTGTGTGTGTGTGTGTGTGTGTGATGAAAATTTGTTTCTCAAGAGCAAGGCACCAGCATGGTCGTGTTGAAATATGTATTTTTTTTTTAAATGTATCTAAATTTCTTTTGCTATTTTGAATACTTGTTAATTTTCCTTACTTTTGAAATGAGAATAAAGTAATTCTGAGTGCTTTAAGACTCTAAGATCACTCTAATTTTAGTTGGCAATTTTTGATTGGTGATAAAACTGTCATGCCATGAGGGTTACAGAATAGTGATTTTTCTGACTCCATCTTTCCTTCCACACGTTTGTTAGTTGTCACTGTATGGTTGACCTTTCTTTTGTTTCTTCTTCGTTTCCTTCCTTCCTTCCATCCTTCCTTCCATTATGGACTCATACATTCTGATTTTTATTGAATAGATTGTAATCTATTACTGTATTTCTTTTGATGACTAAATTGTCCCAGATTTGGCCAGTGGGAGATCCTTGAAGCTCCCTCCTGTATCCTTTCAACAGGTCCCTGTATCTTTTTTGGGGTGTGGGGGTGGACCTCTCTGCTTTCTTCATTATAAGAAGTTGAAGGCTTAGCTTGTATTGTTCCATTTATTGAGTTTTAACTTAATTCTACTGTGGTCAGAGAACATATTCTGAATGTTTCACTCCTTTGAAATTTGTAGAGGCTTGCTTTATTATCTGACATATGTTCAGTTTTATTAAATCCCCATCAGCACTTTGAAAGAACTTGTGTTCTGTTGTTTGGGTGAGCAGCATTCTTTCTATGTAAATTAGTCCATGTTTATTTGTTGTGTTACCTGCATCTCCAACATCCTTAGTCATGTTTTTGGTCTTCTTATTCTGTCAGCCATTGCCAGAGGTGTGTTCAAGTCTACTGGGATGGTGAATTTCTCTTTTATTCCTTTTATTTCTGTCAATTTTATTCCTTTTTATTTCTGTCAATTTTCACTTTGTACATTTTCGAGCTGGCTTTTATGACCTTCATAATTACTTTTTCTCAACCCAAGACTACATGGTGCATTTAGTTATCTTGTCTCCTTAGTCTTCTTTAACCTGGAAAAGTGTCAGGCTGTTCTTTATCTTTCATGATCTTATGTCTCTGAATCTAATGTTTCTTAACTTAAAGTCTACTCTGTTTGATATTAACTACACCAGCTGTCTTTTGGTTAGTTTTTGCATGTTATCTTTGCCCACCCTTTCATTTATTTTGTCTTCATATTTGAGTCATGTTTCCTGTAATCAACATATCCTTTTTCTTTTTTCTTTTTTTTTTTGGTTGCTTATGTCTTAATCCAGCTTCACAGACTTAGTGTTTTGGATTGTCTAGCTCATTATTTAATGTAATTACCATGTATAAAATACTATTTAGTTCTTATTTGGTCTACTTATTAATTTTTCTTTCCTTTCTTGCCATCTTTTATTAATCTAATATTTTATAGTATTCCATTTAATCCTCTCTGTTAACTTGTTATATGTTCTTTTACTACTACTGACCTCAGAGATTACAACGTACATCCTTAGTTTATTATAGTCTAATAAATTATTAATTTCTGCTCCCTTGATAATGCTAGGACCTTAGAACACTTTACCTCATTTACCCATTCACCCATTAGTAGTGTCCTTCATTTAAATTTTACATATATTTTAGGGGCACCTGGGTGGCTCAGTGGGTTGAAGCCTCTGCCTTCGGCTTAGGTCATGATCCAAGGGTCCTGCGATCGAGCCCCGCATCAGGCTCTCTGCTCAGCAGGGAGCCTGCTTCCCTTCCTCTCCCTCTGCCTCCCTCTCTGCCTACTTGTGATCTCTGTCTGTCAAATAAATAAATTAAAAAATTAAAAAAAAATACTTGTTTAAAAAAATAAAATAAATTTTACATATATTTTAAACCTACAAGATTATTATTTTTTGTAGTTTATTATTCATTTATATTTACCTACATATTTACCCTTTTCATTAGTTCTTGCATTTCTGTTTTTTTCTGGGATTATTTTCCTCCTGTTTGAATAATTGGCTTGGTGATGAATTCTGTTTTTGTTTGTTTGAAAATGTCTTTTATCACTTTCATGTTTAAAGGATGTTTTTGCTGAGAATACATTTCTAGGTTGCCAGTTGCTTTCAGTACCTTTAAGATTCTGTTGTTTTCTGATTTCCATGTTTTATCCTAAGAAGTTAGCTGTTAGTCTTATTGCATCTCTTTTGAAAGTAATGTCCTTTTTCTCTGGCTGTCTTTTTTTTTTTTAATTTTTTATTTTTTAAATTAACATATAATGTATTATTAGCCCCAGGGGTACAGGTCTGTGAATCGCCAAGTTTACATACTTCATAGCACATACCTTGCCCAATGTCCATAACCCCACTACCCTCTCCCTACCCTCCTCCCCCTGGCATCTCTGGCTGGTTTTAAGAGTTTTTCTTTGTGTTTGGTTTTATAGCCATTTGACTATGGTTTGTGTGTTATCTATTGCTATAAACCAACCATCCTGGTGAAGAGGTGGGTCTAGGTTGCTATAGTTGTTACTTTCATTCCCTGGTTACAGGCAGGGGTGAACACTTGACCCAGACTAAGCTAAATGTATCCCTCTTTTGCAAACTAGAATTGAAAAGCTGAGATATCTGTGGTGGACTTTGGAGAAGGAAGGTCTATAGGGGGTCAGTGGGACCAGTAGGGTGCTATGATAAGCCAAAGCTGGAGCAAGTTAGAGTCAGGGGTGCAGTAAACGAGGTTCTTGCAAGGCAACAGAATTAGCTAAGAGGAGTGGTGATGAGAGCCCAAAGGCCCTCAAGGAAGAGAGATGGAGAAGGGAGCTGCTCTGGGACCTCCTGGTTTTCCAAAGGCCAGCATTTGTTTCAGTGAGGGTTCTCAGTATATTTTTCAATCAATCCCATTTTACCTTGGGCTGACTTGAGTAAATTTTGAAACAACCAAAGACTTTTACAGAAAACTTGACACATAACAGGCATTTGCTAACTGGTAGCTTCTGCTGCTGCTCTTGTTATTCATGTCCTCAAATGGAGTAAAGAATTGATCCTCAGGATTTTCTAGTCATACTAATAGGATGGGCCACATGTTTTAGGAAGCCCTACTAGTCAGATAAATGCAAATTTAATACTTTGAAAAATGGTCACCAAATAATCATGAGTGGGCATACTAGTGGTTAAAAGGCTGGAAATGTGTTTGTCTTACTTCACTTGTTGTATGTTTTCCTCCTTTGTTACTCTCAGACTTTTGCTGTCTTTCATGCAAAGGAAAAAATCAGGGAACTTAAAGAAATAGTGATTAGTTAAAAAGATAATGCTTTATATGAGTATTTAAACTCTTCTGCTTTGAGCATAAAATATTGGTAACTTCTAAATCTTTTTAAATTGCTAGAATAAAGGAGGGGAAACATAGATTTGGAGACAAATGAAAAACTTAACTTTTTTTGGTCTTTTGTATAGGTTCTCCAAGGGCATAAAACTTTCCTGAATGATGCTTATAATTGGGAATTTTTGATCTGGGAAACAGCTTTACTACTTTTCTTGCTGCGTCTTGCTTCACTGGGGTCTGAAACCAATAAGAAATACAGCAATGTTTCAATATTACTTACTGAGCAGGTATTGGTTGGTCCTTGTCGACTTGGTGCTGTGGTTAGAGATGGCGTAATAAAATCTGTGTGGAAGATTCAGGTTTGAGTTTAGATTTAGCACTTTCTAGCTGTGTGAACTTACAAGTCACTCTGCTACTATATAAGTGTTTCCTCCTCGTGAAATGAGGGTAATAATCTTCTCCACCTGTTCCCAGAATTGTAAGAATTAAGATCTTATGGATTGAAAGTATTTTGTATATTATAAAGTTATCTTTATTGGTGGTAATGGAGCATGTTTTTAATGACATATTCCACATCAGATATTAGATCTTTGTAGTACTTGTCATTTAAGCATGTTTAATAAGCTTCTTGAATTTCTTCTCTATCAGCTGTAGGATACATTCAGTGTTTGGAAAATGCTTGCTCTTTAGTATGTAACTGGATTTTAAGACTGGGAAATGTTTCTTATAAATACAGAGTAATATAAAGGGGTTTTGTTTGTTTAATTTTGATTTCATGTTTATCCATAAGTTATAAATAAAAACATTTGGTATCATTAGATTTTCTTTTTTTGCCTTAGAATTATAGTGGGGAATATTTCCTAGCAGAGAAAAGATAAGGAAATATAGCAAGTGAATATAGCAAGTGAAAAGCAGCAGCTATCTTCTTACATCTCAATTGTGTTTCCCAAGGATGTTAGTTTATGTGGGAGACACCAAAAAGAGTAAGAGAGAGCTTTTGAACTGAAGGAATTCATATGTTAATTGTTGTGTTATAATTAGTATTACACTTTTTGTGTATATATGTGTATATATATATATATGTATATATACATATATGTATATATGTATATATATATGTATATATACACAAAAAGTGTAATACTAAATATATATATATATTTTAATCCACTAAATAGCTTTTCTTTGCCAGATGTGACTGATTGGGGTGGGGTGTAGGGCATGTGACATATGTAGTCTGTAGAAATAACTGCAGGAATTTCAAAATGTATTTTATTTGAATATATTACTCTCAAATCTGCCAGACTTAATGCAGTATGTATATATCTTTTTTTGTGACATTTGCCTTAATATCTCCTTTTTCTCTTAGATTAATTTATATCTTAAGATGGAGAAAAAGCCGAATAAGAAAGAACAGCTTACTCTAGTAAATAATGTATTAAAGCTGTCTACCAAGTTATTGAAAGTAAGTAATATCCCGTGATACACTTTTACTAGCACTTAAATCAATGCTTTACTTACTGAAGGAGACCGTAGGAACAGGTAGATGTCAGGCTGTGTACATTCAAAATACCAACTTGATAGTTTGGGGTTAATGACTACATAGAAAAAAATTTCTCATCTCATTACCCAGGTTCAGGTGATTGCTGACATCTGTCACATTTTTCAAATGAACATTTCTTAAAAATCACAAATAACATACCATGCAAACCCACATTTAATCACGTAGCTAGTGGAAAAGTAGATGAGAGTCCATTAGAGGTTTTCTGAATGCAGCTATTGAACATGAAGGAAAGATGGCCTGACGCAGTCATCCCCACCCAAGACCTAAAACACAGCCGAGAAATCAGTGGCGGCCATCGAGAGGCCATGGATCTCATCTCCGTTCTTTCATGTTTTTGTAGGAGTTGGACACACCATTTAGACTCTATGGACTGACGATGAATCCCTTAATCTACAATATCACACGAGTCGTTATCCTTTCTGCTGTCTCAGGTGTTATAAGTGATCTTCTAGGATTTAATATAAGAGTAAGTGAGACCAGTACTCTGTAGCATCTGCTTAGTCTTAAAAATGACCAAATATAATAATCCTCGCTTTTCACCCTGTGTGTGTGTGTGTGTGTGTGTGTG